CGTTGTACATTTGCTGTTATGTTAAACTTATATTAAAGTTTTTCTTCATTACCCATTCAAGCCGTCTCCAGCCATTATTAGTCTCAAAGTGGGTTCCTCGTCATCGAAATTGGTGATAGTTTGTTTCGGATATCATCAGAATAGTATACTCTCCCACTTTTAAACACAAACATTACTAGATTACATGGAAATTTGACTCCCTTAAATTGCTCAATTTCAACAAATTTCTAGTGTAGTAGTTTCTGTGATTTAAATAAATAGTGAGGTACAGTACGTTTTAATGGAATTACAGCGTCTCAATCTTGCATATATTCTTCGAGGACAGCAACTTCTTTCTCAACTGTCCTTTGAACCATTAATTTACATCATACTCCATTTGTTATCCTGTGAAATTTCAGCAAGTTCAAAGATGTCATTAATATGTTTAAGTAGTTAAACATTTATTAAGTTACACCATTTTTTTTTCAAGAATGCAATAAATTATGACGATTTATGTAAAGTTAGCCAAACATTTCCAGCTTCGTCTTTTTTTTATTTGGCATAGTAGTAGATAAGTCACTTAAGCCATCCAAGCAATGCTCTGTTGCTAATAGTAAAGCTAGTGGAATTTGAAGGTGTACTTATACACATGCTGATTATAATAACGAATTCAGTGTTATTGCAGTACAGTGTGCTGTTAATATTTTTGTGTTATATTACATAATGTGATGTCCTATAAAATTCCTTTTGCTCAAACATTTCAAAATTAAATTTTATCTTCAGCTGAATTATGATACCTCTTAACAGATTGAAAATTCCTATAAATTGGCTTTTCTTCATTTTTCCCAGTTTTCAAACTTAATGATAAAAAAATCAATCTAATACAGAATTATTTGGTTCATTTTGTCTTGAAATAGTAAAACACACACGCACACATAATATAAAATCATTTTCTGTTATTATATACATTACCAAAAGTATCGCTGTAAGCTATATTTTAATGTTTTAACTTGTTTGTTTACTAGATAAAGCTGTTTGTCGTACTGATGATGTTATGTTCAAGATTCTTTAGGAAATATCTAGAAACAATAATACCGATATAAATATGTGTAGACAGTACAATAATGAATGAGTTTTCACTGAGAGTTATTTCCTTTTCTGATATTTGGTTACTTGGTGAGTTTCGTGTTTAATTAGCTTACCAAGCTAGTTATTGTGCTAAGTTTTTTGTATGTCTCGCAGTTTATATTGAAATGTTGTATTTAAGGTTAGGTCTACATTCAATTGTGGAGTTAGTGTTGAAACGTTGTTTGGGCAGTTAAGACTACAATTAACAATGAATGTGGCTGTAGAAACGCCACAGAAAAATGAGAAGAAATAACTATTGTTACGTGAACTGGACTTTATATTGTTTTCACCAAATAAATCGGATAACCCGTGTAATGATAGGACACGTTATAACACTGGTGTCAAAAGTGCATTATTTTTTGAACATAAAACAGAACTTTGACTAAATTTCAATATGACAACCCTATTGGAAAGTGAGATCAAAGTATTGCTAGCAATGGTGGAATAGTTAAAAGAAGAACAAGACAAAAAATTACAAGAAGAGGAAGACAGAAAATTAGAAATAAGAAACAAGAATTTAAGGGAGAAGTTAAAAGAAGAAAACACACTAATTAAAGACAAATTAAAATCAAAAACAAGTCTTACTGAAAACGAGATCAGTAAATATATTAGAGATGTACAGGGAGATTACAAAAAAGATTGAAGAAGTGCAGAAAGGCTGTCATAACAAAATTGAAGTTGTACAAATAATATGAACTAAGTAAAGAAAGACATCAAAGAAGCAGAAAAGAAAATCAATGATAGAATATCACATCTGGAAAATTAGTAAATGCAAATATTAAACCAGCCACACACATCTTTCTGCATACACTCGATATTTCCAACTTAAAACACCATCTGCTATAAAATTGGGAATAGGAGAACTTATCTGGTCTTCACTTATTACCATTTTTGCTGTGACATCTGTTATTGCAGGACCTACCTAACTACTTCAGCCATGTAACTATTAAATACAGCTCAAGAAATTAGTTAGTAAATTCAACAACATTTCCTGATTGTAAAATCAACAAACCATGATGGGAGGCACATCAGTCTCTGTTTGAAATAATTTCCAAAGTGAACAGAGGGAAGAGTTAACAACAAGTTATCCATCTTACTGTCCATTTAAAAGAACCATCTTTAACGACATTAACTAATGTTCCAGCCGAGAGACATAACAACTACCAACCATTGGTAACTGGCTTATCCAATAGGTGTAGAGTGACACATCAGAAGGACATATCCGGAACAGGGTACAGGGGAAAAAAGAAATCTTAACTGGACTTGTAGAAGATTTGAAAAGTATTGTTCAATTATCTTACCTGGATGCTCCACATGAAATGATGAATTTTTTTGGCATGTGACCAATTTATAGATGACATAACAGACGAGATTACGAGAATCAGTCTGAAGTACAGTAGGTGTACATATTTAAAGGAAGTTTTGCAGTTGGCAATGGAACTAGAATCCATTAAAGTTGCATATAAACAACTAAATAAACCATGTCGATGTAACACAGGTCGAATAGTTTTGAAACATTAACTCCTACTTATGATAATTTGGAAGGATTAAAATAATTAATTAGACAACTAATTACACAGAATAGACGAAATAAACCACAAGGAGATGGGTATTTCAAGTAAAACTTGTAAGAACATATTGCCAGGAATTGTAGGAAATAACTTTTCTCTAAGGATGGCTGTAAAAAGAAACTGTTATAGATGGGGAGAAATCTAGCCATTACATCCAATACTATGAGAAATCAACAACTGATAATGCACCAAGGAGACAATACTGTAAAAATGAGTCTTTGTTTCCAACAAGATCAGAGGAACAATAAAGGGCTAACCATACATTGTGAAACAGAAATTATCTGGATTTATAGGGCAAAATTCAGCTGAGAATAGCCTATCTCCTCCAAATGAGTACATTTATTGTTCAATACAGCTACAGATATCAGCAGCTGAACTATCTCTACATCATACTGCTATCTGGAGAAAATTAATGTACAGGTGCTACAGTTGACATCACAGGAAAACAGACAAGCAAAATCAACTTAATCAAGTGAAACAAGGACTTTTACACTAAGATTTGCCACAGCATAATTCACCTGCTGTGCTGATTAAGAATACAATCCCTTCATTCTACATCTGAAAGCAATGTATACGTTCTCATAACTGAAGGTATGGATTTGTGTATAATTGGTTCTTATATTTGATTTTACAAACACACAGGTGTTCTTAAATGGTTTCTCACATAAATATCCTGCCCAAGTTCATTGCAATCTTTCACCTGAGTCCCTAGAAAACAAGGATGGCAGTATCTTTTCAGTTAACAAATGTAATAAAATTTCTAGTGATTATTTCGTTCATATTAACTGTCAATGTTTTTAGCATTACATTCACCATTATTAGCTGCCCTAGTTGTATTGTTATCAAGAGACTCTTACATAACATCTTGTAGACATACTGCCATGAAACATTACATAATATTGGGAAAGTAAGAAATGCGACCTCCTTTTGGCTATTAATCTATCAATTAAAAAAGCATTATAGCTAAATAATAGTCGAAAAGATGTTATATAATGCTTCATGAACTTTTGCTTGATAACTGAAATTATCAGAAGGTAAATGTTGGTATCTTAGTCGATCATCAAAGTAGTCACACCACTACTCCACTGGTGCATCCTTCTGTGACTCCTCTTGAAGAAAGCCATATACGTACTATCAGTATCGTATCTTCATCAGTTGAGTTGAGATAATCTTATGGTTTTATGGATTGAGCTGTAGAAGAATGAAATAAAGTCCAGTCCAACTAGAACAGAGTAAACTCCATTCTACAGGCACATACCAACGTGATATCCAGTCAACACCCGGAACATTCATTCCTTCAGTGGCTTGTAATATTTCTTCTGCCATATTGTGCTTTAACCAACTGTTGGTGTGAAATTAATGTGCATCAGTTAATGCATAGCTCAACCGTTCCACATATTCTCGTGGACACTGTTCATATCTAATACGAACAACATTAACAATGAATTGGTAAACAACCATCTAACTTTTGCTTTGCTGTACAAATATGGTATCGTGATTTGTAACAAATGCTCACTTCATTCAGTTTAGTTGGGGTTAACAAACTTTGCAGTTTCATTCTCTCGGAGAAGACCACCTATATCCATGGCTATTATCTGCAGTTTAGAACCTGTAACTTGACTTCTGATAAAGTTCTCACACCATTTAGAGAGACAGTCCATCTGTATTTATGTGCTACTGGCCTGAATGATGAAGGTTATGTCATCAGGGAAGATGACGTCATACATAATTCTATAACGTTGCTTGGACTGGCTGATGATAAAGAGAGCATTGCTAGTTGTGACGTCATAATTCCAAGAAGTAGAACTAGAGGGCGCTGCAACCTTAGGGAGAGATGATATCATAATTTGATACCAGAGGG